AATTAAATAGCTTAGCTCAACTGAGCTAATCATGATACTTTATCAGCTTCAACTCGAAACTTTATTGGATTCTTATTTCTGAAATACGTCTTCTATATACACCTAATCAAAGTTTCAATTAGCAATTTTTCTGTTGTTGGCTTAATTTGAAAAATGAGCTGAGCGCTGTTTCGAATACTTTGTCTATGTTTATCTAATAATATCACGGAGTTACAATTTCATATAAAACTATGTCAACAACATGACAAAGTCAATTTATTCCGAGATGCGAAGTATTCAATCACGAAGCTCCTGTTTCGGATACTTTTTTCAGGTTTGCATAACACAAATCTAATATTTGATTTATTGCAATAATGTAAACGGATCAAGATCAATCTTTACTTCTCACACCGTCACACGAATACATACATTTTTATTAGAAATTATGAGGATTCACCAACCTAACCAAATAACTGATTGGAGACTGTTTGCGGAACTTTCCAAAGTTTTTCCTTTTCTCGAATACAAACGAGCTTTCATTTTCACAGTCTCATCTTCTATGTAAAGGTAAATCCCTGTGACCTTTCAAGGAGTTTCGAAGTTATAATTTTTGTCTTTATCGATCCCAAAAAGGCCCCTGGTATTGATCAAATAACAGCTAAAATGCTGAGTGAACTCTCAAGAAAGGGCATTGTATTATTAACGTATATTTATAATGCGATACTGAGGCTTGAATATTGGCCAAAATGTCTCAAAGTTGCACAAATCATAATGATTGGTAAGCCAGGAAAAGATCCAACGGATGTTGCCTCCTATCGTCCTATAAGCTTGCTTTCAGTTATTTCCAAACTTTTAGAAAAACTATTACTTCGGAGAATTAATGAGGACCTTGAGCCCCAACATTGGATTCCGGAACATCAGTTTGGTTTTCGTCGCGCTCACTCCACGGTACAGCAGGTCCATCGAATCGCACAAGTTATTAACAATGCATTTGAAAACAAGCAATACTGTTCAGCGGTCTTCCTTGACGTTAGTCAAGCATTTGACAAAGTATGGCATCCTGGATTACTATATAAAATCAAACAAACACTCCCTACAGCCTATTTTAATATACTAAAATCATACCTGAGCGAGAGAACATTCCAAACCAAAGTAAGTGAAGAAACATCAGACCACTTCCCCATCAACTCTGGAGTGCCCCAAGGTAGTGTTTTAGGGCCTTTGCTCTACATTCTGTACACAGCAGACCTGCCAATGACACAAAATACAACAACAGGAACATTTGCAGACGACACTGCAATTCTATCCAGTCATGACTCATGAAAACCCTCAAATAGCATCAGATTATATCCAGACTCACCTGTTTGAACTACAACAATGGCTAAACAAATGGAAAATTAAAGTAAATGAAAACAAATCGGTGCATGTAACATTTGCCCTCCGTAAACAATTATGTCCAGCAGTTGTGATAAATAATGTGCAGATACCACAGATGGAAACGGCAAAATACTTAGGATTACATCTAGATAACAAGCTGACGTGGAAGGAGCATATTAAAAAAAAAGAAGAAACAAATAGACATCAAAGCAAGAGAACTAAATTGGCTAATAGGAAGAAAATCTACACTATCAACAGAAAATAAAATTCTAATATACAAGGCAGTCATCCGACCTATCTGGACATATGGAGTAGAGCTATGGGGCTGTGCTTCTAAAACAAATGTACTATTAATCCAAAGAAACCAATCAAAAATACTCCGGCAAATTGTAGATGCTCCGTGGTATATAACAAATCATACAATTCATACAGATCTACACATACCAACGGTTCAGGAAGTAATCCAGGAGAGAGCTAACAAACACCATGAAGTCCTAGAAACCCACACAAACCCCTTATTGGAACAGTTACTGCAACCAAGGATCAATAAAAGACTCAAAAAATTGTGGCCTATAAACTTAGTGCGGGAGTAGTGTCCTCAAATTTCAAATTTCTTTTGACAAAAACAATTTATAAAACTTAGTATTAAGTTACATAGGTTGCATCGATGGATGTTAATCTTATCATGCTATTTATCTGCTAGTTCACCTAGCGGTCGTTAACCCTTTAGCTAATAGAATACATATATTGTCCTGATTGCTAAATAAATAGGTAGAAAAAAAAAAAAAAAAAAAAAAAAAAAAAATCTTTTCGATGATGTACCCTCACTCATTATTTGCTTTGCGTGCAGTTTAGTGGTACCTTTTAACGGCCGACGCTAAATAAAATGCTGTTGCGTTTTATGGATTATATTTACAATATGTACAAAATGGTAGCCGAAGTGCACGAAACGAGCGTTATATCGTCGAAGTGAGCGCGGATGCGAGTCTTCTGACTGGTGGAGCGTAGCGTGTGGTCGAACTATAGCACAAAACATGTTCTTGTCGCTAGCTTTCTTCTTGTCGAGCTTCTTCTTGGGACAATTCGACTTGATATATCCGAATTAATGACATCCTTAACACCTCCCAGTTCTCTTGGTCACCAGATCTTGGTTTCCTAACAAATGCAGCTGCTAGATTTTCACTGAAGTTGACTTCCCAGTATCCCTGTTTTCGCGTGTTTTAATCTCTCTATTTGTGGTAAATTAGATACTTAGAGCCATTCTTGATATTTTCGCAGCGACTAATTAATTTTTAGCAAAAGATTATAGGCCCATAACCTAATGTAATTAATAAGTTTATTACCAAAATAACAATAATAATCATGAAGTGTAGTATCTATTTGACAACTATCCAATTGACAAAACATACAAAATTCAGTTTCTTTCTTCAACACTTATTGCAAGCAGTTGTTCCTGCCACAGCTGCTGTACTGGGGTTGGCATGGTTTAAAAGGTTTTCCAGTCCTAATATTGAAAGGTCGAGGAGTATCAAAAACTTCCTTCCTTGACGATGGTTTTCGACAATTTGAATGGCTGCTTACTACCTCCTTTCACTCCCAGCTGCCAGTAAGCAGAATGAAGATGCAATTCGAAATCACCTTACTTAGTCAGCCTAGTAGCACCAGATGTTATCCATGAACTAAAAATTTTTTCCAAAATTTCGACGATTCCAAAACGAGAGTGCTAAACATTCCCAAAACAAAAATGTGATTTCGACAAAGTTTGGTATATTGGTGCCTTTGAATGTAAAAAAAATAGAAATTCAAACTGCATCATGTCCGTTCATTTAACTCAAAGTGGTTAATTAAAAATACAGATTTGTCATTCTTGTAATATAATAAAGTCATTTAACAAAATGTCAAATATAATTCAAAGTAGATTCGTAAATCTTATCAGTTACAAAAATATCACCACCCCTTATTTTCAATTAATTATTATTACGTCAAAGGAACGCGGAAGGTTCAAAAAAGAAAGAAGACATTTGTCGAGCTAATATTTCAATAGGCATACGATCATTCTATAAAAGTAATAGCTTAATAATACGGTAAGAAAAGCAATTTCGTAACATTTTAGTAACGGTGCTTTTGTAGACGACAGTTCCTAATACAGTTCCTTTTTCAAGATTCAGTAAATGAGTCGTGACAGTCAATAGCTTGGTCTTAAATTGATTCATTTACATTTAGAGAGACGCTAGCGAACGCGCTTATATCTTTTGAATGAAGAGAGAATGGAACACTTAATCAACACCACGCTCCTCAATCACGCAGCTGAAAATCTTCCATTGAACTAAAAAGTAAATTGATTCTTATCTCATGCTTACGACGACGCTATTTGAATTTAACATAAAACAAAAAAATTACCCCGAAGGTATAATCTCAACTTTAAATTGAATTCATACAAATTCGCTTAAATTTGTTGTGTTTAATGGGAGACACTTTAATTAAATTCGCACCTTCAAGAAGGTTTAGCTGTTTGGTGCTTAATTAAATGAATAACTCCACTTTTTATTTCGCGACGAACTTCCGCGAGTAACGAGCTGTAATTTTAGTCGAAATTGAACACCGAGGCGCGAAAATATATCGCGAAGCGTGTACGGCGATTTACAATAGATGTTGAAAACGCACACAACACAATGCCCCATTGCCGTTTTTTGTAACCTCTTAAATTAGTATTCCGTAGTAGGCAAACGTATTATAGACCGTCGCGTTTTAAATGCGGTTTGAGTCCCATAGGAATACCTTGAACTGTGCTCAAATTATACAACTTTAACGCTAGGAAGTAGGAGGTTCGATTATTCTACACGAATGGACACCACGCGACTTGAAGGGCGGCACCCTAAATCTACATTTTGCAGTTTCCAAAACGAAATTAATCACTAAATGAATATTTTTCTGTACCAACTTAACCAAAATTATAGTATGACAGGAAGAGCACAGTTTTTGTTCCTGTGCATCAACGCAATGTGTTTTGCTGTTTTCTCGATAAAATTGGTGAATAAATAAACATTTTACTCTACCAACCTAACCAAAAACGGAGTATGGCATGAAAATCACTTACCTCATCCTGAATATACACATGTAAAGCAATATTTGATCATTTGTCTCCACTTTTGGCAAGCCGATCATCTAGGTTTTTGTGTGACTGAACGTTGGCTTGTACGTAATTTATTCAAATTTCAATGGAAAAGTTTACGTGCTTCAACAGATATCACAAAAGAGACCATGCCATGGAGCAAAACATAAGGTATTTCTATTTAACTAATTAATCCTCAGTGTTGATTCCTTTTTCATACACTACCTACATACAGTTGCGTCGGGACAGTTTGAAATTCACAGTTAGTGCATCAAATCGATCCAATCAAAAGTTCCTCCTCCCTCTTCGATGGAAATAAGGTCATTCATATTTTGTAATAATTGTGATACTGGTAGAATATGCATTCTGAATAAATGCGGCGACATAAAAGAACCGTAGTTGCTATATTGTATTTGAATTTGAGGTTTTTTGGTTTTATCAATGTCACAGTTTAACTGTGTACTAGAGGCAAAGTTCGTGGGAAATGTAACATCAATGATTTTAGTACGTAGGTAGGTAATTTACACAAGCATTCTATTACGATTTTATTAAAAAAGTACAAAAAATGTTTTAATTCCTAGGCATTTACTTTGGACCAGATCCAGTCATGATAAGATGCTACTCTAGCCAAAACTCCTGGGTAACCCACAATGGCACATGGCTTTACAGACCAAGAAACAACACCCACTTGTCTTCCTTTGGCAACAAATGGACCGCCAGAGTCACCCTGCACAGAAAAGCATCGTCAGTATGATGAGGTTTTACAATGCAAAAAATTCACTTACACTGCATTGACCTTTCCATCCCTCTGGAACCCCCGCGCAAATGTGATATCTTTCATCCACACTATTTCCATGGGCAGCCCTACAGTCATCAGGTGAGTAAACTAAAATGTCTACTCTTTGCAGGTGCTTCATTACAGGTCCCCAAGTCTATAATCATGTTTTAAAGCACTGGGGTTGGTTAACATACATTTACCTTTGAGGCACCCCATCCTGCAAGAACAGCCCACTCACCATCGGGAGCCGTTTCACCTTGGCTGGGCAAAATTACCGGTTTTACGTTCACGTTGTCTATCGGAATTGCTGACGCAAGCTAGCAAGGGATCATGTAATCATCTCATCAGAATATTAGCAGGACTTACTTTCAGTATAGCTACATCATTAATATGATTTTGGGATGGGTTGTATTCTTCGTGTTTGAAAATTGTATCAACGTCTATACTGTTGGTTGAACCAGGAGAGATTTCAAGAACACCATATTGAATCGTGTATTTTCCGTCGTCCACGCAGTGGGCGGCAGTTAAGACGTGATTTTCGCTTACGATTGAACCACCACAATTGTGATATCCAGCAAACCGAAGTGAAACCTTTGAGAAAATGGTATAGTCTTACATGACACTAACACGTTGAACTACTTACAATGTATGGTATTTCTCCCAGTTTCGCATCAGTACCGTTTACAATCTTTGGAGGTGCGGCTGAAAAGAAAGCTGTTAAATTCTCAAATATTGTGGTCCAATTTACCTGTCACAAAGCTTATGCATGCAATTAAGGTGGCCAATTTGTACATGTTCCGCGAGTTTAAGCTTAATCGACTCTAATTCAAACTATTTTTTTGCTATATATTTATACTTGAGCATTTTCTGTTTTTGGCTAATCTCATCCAGATAAAATCCGATAAAATAGAGAAAACTTCCATTCTCGACCTTTGCTTGTCCCATATTTACGAAATCTCATAAATATTGACAATTATTATTCACATAAATAGATTATTCAGCATTTTTCCATCATTCCCCATGTTTATATTAAAGCATGATACTACAACTATTGTAGTACCTATCATGATATCGAAGTATTGTTTTGCTAGTTAACAACTTAAATGCAAAATCAGTTTTTGGAAAAATATTACTAATGACTGTTTGCACCACGATACACTTACAGACGGTATGCTCATTATTTTTCTCAAACGCGTTTTCTACTGCGCATTACGTCACCTGCGAACGTGTGGCGCCAAAATTCAAATGTTTAAGCACGATCCAGTAGGTACACTTGTCACGAGTGACATTTTGTAACTTTATCAGTTGTATCTACGAGTTTTCGCGTTAGTTTGTTGATAGCTAATCAATCATTAGTGAAAATTCCAAAATGCCAGGTTGTGTAGTGGCTCAATGGGGCAATTCTAACAGATAAACAAAAGGAACGGAAATAAAATACTTTCGATTTCCGATAATGGAAGACTTTTCTCAAAAATGGATTGTTGCATGTCGTCCTAAGGATAAAATTAACTTGAAAAATGGTGTTACATTAATCTTAAGTTGTGTATTTAAGTTTTTACATTGCTGTTTAATTTTATAGCCTGTATTTTTTCTGAACATTTTGAAGCCAGTCGTTTTGAAGCACCGCTAAGGGAACGACGTCTTAATTATACTTTTAAACAGCGGACATTTGAACCTTTACCTACTTTAAAACTACCACGTAATAATGAAAATCAAACTAAAAGGGAAACGGAGGATAGATTAGATCTTTTGATAACGCATTAATTACATAATATTTACTGAAAAAGCCTCACTTCATGTTTAGGGCCAAAATTTTTGGTTAGAGTTTATTTCATACCTTCGTGAAATCCCAGAAATATCCGACGCGACGATCTCTACTTTGTCCATCTAATGCCCGTTTGCACCGACAAATTTAAGCGGCGCCTAGCTTAAGCGCAGCTTAGAATCCATGGCAACCATTGCCTCAATAATCGTTGTCAGGGATTTTAAGCTACGCTTAAGCTAAGCTCCACTTAAATTTGTCGGTGCAAACGGGCATAAGTAGCGTAAGTTTGCTCAATATTCTATGGTTTTGTTCACACGTGACGTCACGCTAGATGCGCAAGAGCATACCGTTGTAAGTGTATCGTGGTTTGCACCGACAAGTTTAAGCGGAGATTAGCTTAAGCGTATCTTAAAATCCATGGCAACCATTGTCTCAATAATCGTTGCCATGGATTGTCGGTGGAAACGGTCATAAATGGTTATCATTTCAATGCCTGCTACGCGTTACAATAATAATAAATTTTTTTTATTGGACAAATATACAGGGTGCAGAACCGGTTTATGCACCATAGGAATATCAATGCAAGTTTCTTTATATGGAGCTATTTTCTCCCCTAATTAATTTATAGAAAAATTGTAAATTGGTTTCTTGTAGCTTGAACAATTCTGTGTCTGCTCATGTTCTCATTTATTATTTTTCAATTCGGGAAACCGGAAAAATGAAATAAATTAGAATGTAGTATTTGCGTAAAAATCTAATGACCATTTTTACTAAAATCACTGGTACCGTGAAATTATTCAACTTGCTGTAAAATATATAGGAAAGAAAATATTTCACTATAAAGAAATTACCATTGAAATCTCTATGGTGCGTAAACCAATTCTACACCCTGTATGCATAAAATAGAATTATCCAAAATAATTAATGTTCCAGGGCACCATTCATTGGAGCGCAGTTCAAATTGGGTTCTTGACCTAAAAACGATTGTATTTAGGCTTATGCTTCTTCCAAATTTTGCTTAAAATTGAGAAAGGACTTGAAATAAACAAGTAATCATGTGCAGGGTGTTCCGTTTATGCTCAACCCTGTATAGTTTAGTTTATTACTGCCTAGTAGACATTAATAAACTCTAAAACTATTGTATGAAACTTTTTTCGGAACCTTGTATATTTTCCCCTATAATCAACCGTTTCCAGACATAGAATTTGAGGATCGTCTATGTCGTCTTTACCCTCTGCTAGGATTAGTGAAGAGTTAAAACAGCTCCCTTGATAGCTCGCACAAGCAATGGTGCAAAATATGTCAGCCTTCTTGCACCCACGGCTAGCCTCGCAGTTGGTAGTTGAACAACGGCAGAAAATGGCTTGAAAAATTTCCTCTGGGGCTGGCGGAGCTGTGTTCCTTACTGGGTGTAAGTCGTCACCTCTTTTCCAACCCCATTGTTGCGAATTTTTTGAAACTTGCTTAGCTTCAAGAGCTCGTAGCTGGAAAAAATTTAGCTTTTTGGAGAAATGTATAGAAACAACGTTGTAGAAAATTTTATGAGCTTTCGATTTTGATACGAAAATTTTTTTGTACGATTCACAATTTTCTAGATATAGCTTAAAAATACGAAACTATATCTTCAACCCCCTCCGTTCCCCCCGGCAGCACCGAAATCACTGGGGACTTTATTACACGATTGCCTAATAAGTCCCAAGCGATTTCGGTGCTGCCGGGGGGAACGGAGGGGATTGAATCATCAGGGAACCTTCAACCACACATTCCCGGAAAAATTGCAACTACACGAATTATTTTTTCTGTTTGTCGTTTGTTGGCATAGAATAACTGGACTAAACAAGAACATTTATAAATAAAGAAATTCATGCCAAAAATGACATACGTACGTTTACATACAGGGTGGCAATTTGAAAACTTACCATCCCCCATGTCTTAGTAAATAAACGAGATATTTTAAAAAATCAAAATCCGTTTCGGTAATGCGGAGGGGGAATCACAATTACATAGTTGGCGACGCACCCCCTCCAACCCCCTGCCCCAGCCACCCCAACATTTAAATCTTAAATAGTGACCCCCCATGCTTTCCAACCACACCAAATAGAATTACATTTAGGTTAGTAATTATCGTGCAAATCAAAAAATAAATAAATAGTTATAATGGTCAGATTTTTCTATTGGTTACCCGCTTCTCTGCTCGTAGCAACCGATCAATACTTCGCTGTTTGAATATGATCAGCGAAATGTCACATTTGACGCACGTATAAAAAAACAAATATTAAAAAAAATTAATATTCACCGGGGGTATTACAAATATGGATTAAGAAGGTTGTTTAATCTGCGAAAAGGTGAACAATAATTTAATGGTGATAAAAAAATTGCAATAGGAACGTTCAGATGCAGCATGTTGATTTAGTTGCAAAAAAAGCTATTTATCATGTTAAAAAACGTGTATATCGAAAAACTAATTTTTGACAATTTTTGATTTTAAAGTACAAGTTTGCTATACCCCTGAACAAGAGGTGTTTTTTTCGAAAATCGTTAATGTCTCTGAAACGGCTCAACTTTACGGGCTCAAACAATTTATCTACTTTTTTGTCATAAAAAAACTGTATTTTCTCAAAATTTCAGACCTCTCTTTCGCAAAAATGAAGATAGAAAACAAATCATTTCACCTACAAGAAAATCCCGATTGGGGTCGTGAGCTAGTTCTTTTGTCAAAATATATTATATCGATAGCCTGGACCTACAAGTAGTTTAAGGGAGCAGAGGGTATCTCGCTGGTTTAGAAAGTTAATTTTGTGTCGATTTGTTAGAATTTTATTTATAAAAGTATAAAAGACATAGTTTATTACGAATTTACTTTAGCTGAGATCCAGTCATGGTAAGACGCCACTCGAGCCAAAACTCCAGGATAACCCACAACGGCACATGGCTTCACAGACCAGGAAACGATACCAACTTGTTTTCCGTTTGCAACAAATGGACCGCCTGAATCACCCTGCATAAAAAAGTTAATTTCTGCTAACGAAATTTTGTCACAAGGATTTTCTTACACTGCATTGTCCTTTCCATCCCTCTGGAACGCCTGCACAAATGTGATGCCTTTCATCTACATTATTTCCGTGGGCAGCTTTGCAATCATCAGGTGAGTAAACCAATATGTTAACCCTTTGCAAGTGTTTCATTACTCCTCCTCCAGTCTATAAGTATTGTTGTAACAATCGAGTGGAAAGAGTCATACAATTACCTTTGACGAGCCCCATCCGGCAAGAACAGCCCATTCACCATCAGGAGCAGCTTCCCCTTGACTAGGTAAGGTTACTGGTTTTAAGTTCGCATTGTCCAAGCGAATTGCAGATGCCAGCTAATAATATAATAACAAATTGTTATTCTACCAATAGTTGAAGCTTTGACAGGACTTACTCTCAATACGGCTACATCATTAATATGATTCTTCGACGGATTATATTCTTCGTGTGTGAAAACCTTTTCAATATCTATACTGTTGGTATAATCAGAAGATATTTCAAGAAGACCATATTGAACTGTGTATTTTCCACTATCCATACAGTGAGCGGCAGTCAGTATGTTATTTTCGTTTATAATTGAACCACCACACGTATGCAACCTGATATATCGAACAGACACCTTTAAAGAAAATTCAAAGGTTTTACGCGAAACATGTTTTGAGCTACTTACAATGTATGGAATTTCACCCTCTTTGGCGTCAGTACCGTTGACAATTTTGGGAGGTGCCGCTGAAAGTAACAGTATTAATAAGTTGCCATTTACCTCTGTCCAATTTACCAATGACATAGCCTAGGCATGCTATTAAGATAACTGTTTGCAACATGTTGAATATTACTCGAATCTAAATCAGACTAATTTTTGTCTTATTATTTATACTAGACTTGTATCTTATCCAGCCGTAAGTGGATAAAATATGGGAAGCTGCGGAACTCTACCTATTGCTTGCTAGATTAACATGTGTGTTCCCAAATGATACAAATCCACTTATGAAATGAATCAAAATATTATTAATGACAATTAACATAAATAAATTATTCGGCACTTTTATATCATTCAATTGTGTCTACTTTGAAGTGTTTTTCACGTGAACTTGAGTGCAGAGAAACTTTTAAAAATTACCCGAACAAAAGTGTTTTAAGTATTAAATAACACGTGAAGAACAGCTGTTTCTCCTTGATCATGATGCCAGGAGTGTTACTAAAAATGGTTTGAATAGACCATACATTCTTGGATAGCGAAGCTAGATTCCCGCCTTTGGATTAGGATTGGGTTCCAGAAAGGGTTTCTGTACAAGTTTTCGTTCAACTGCTCTCGATAATTTAGCCAAAATGTTTGTAACATAGCAAGACTAATTTGAACTATCTCTCTTTCATGGAATAATCCCTGTTTGGCCATGTACCAGGTCTGTCTCAAGCAGGCAATTTGAGATATGAAAGTAGGGACCTCTCCGTAGTCCTAAAATATTTGTCTTTACATCAGAAACTAACATTAGCTAAGTCAACGCGAAAGGTAGGAAAGGTAAAATTTCATCATAAGTTTAAGGTTGGTAATAGGTATTGTGGATGGAGTGGACGAGATTGTATTGCCTGTTCTTCTATTCCCAGAAGCTTATGGTCCTTGAAAGAAACACGCCACGCCTTATGGAATACATGCATAATTGCAATTTCCATTTATTTTCATCCAATTTCCTATGACGTAGTTGGGCATCCTATTAAGATCTGTGGCAACAAGTTCTGCTGTTTAAAATTCATAGAATGTAAACCAAACGAATGTTTTTCTTTTTCCTTACACTACGCACCCTCTCCTCCTTTTCGGCTTCTCCAGAAGATGGTGATAATTTTATCACATCTGAGAACTCGACCTTCACATGTGTGCTCGTATTGAAAGTGGCCACTTATGAAATGAATCAAAATATTATTATTGCCAATTAGCATAAATAAATTATTCGGCACTTTTATATCATTCAACTTTGAAGTGTTTTTCACGTCAACAACTTGAGAGTACAGGGGTACTTTTAAAACTGGCCCGAAAAATAGTTATTTTTATATATTGAATACATACTGCTGATCATACCTACGGTAAAAAAGAAGACTGTCCAAAACGTCTCATTTGATAACACAGACATTAATAGAACTAACAAGTAATCTAAAATTTAGTATCTGCACCCTCCTGGTATCGAAATGTTTATGTATATTATATTTCTAAAGACAGCACCATCTTTTGTGGAAAATGAAATATCATGAATATCAAAAAGATTGCTAATTTTCAGTCAATTTTCGTGTCAAAATCGATGAATGCCAGCTCGAACGGAAAAGCGCCCCAATAAGACTCTGTGAAGCATTTGTGTTGTTTCACTTTAATTATTGTGTTCCTATGTTCACCCAGCCATAGGATAAACTTACCTCTATTAGAATACAGAGTACAAAATTCCTTGTCTGCGGTTTATCTATGGAATACGTAAATACACGTTAGCCATAAGTTAAAAGATTATAATGGCTTCGGGCTTAGTAACATTTACAAAAGGTCGAAGACCTCACTTGCATAAAATAAAATTGAACCTCTACGGCCGACACTGGCAAATTAAATTTTTTAATTTAGCCACGGCTAGGTCAGTGTTGATATTAATTTTGCCCAATATATGAATTAGGTTTTATTACCAGTAAATGTACTGATTAATTGTCTTTAAATTCCTTTATTTATCGCACGATGCGTTATCCAATGACGCTACTCAAGTTTAAGAAACTTGCTTTTAACCAGCGGTTACTGTTAGCGATCCGAAAAACGGAAATTCTTTGTTTGTCACAATGGACGTATATTGTACCATTCATAAATAAAAAGCCTTGCTACGAATCAGGATGCTAAAAAGTTTTTCTTCGTCCTGGAATTTAATGTAATTCGTTTGTTCGCACACATATAATAGTTATTTGTGTACCAAGGCCGTAAAAGTGATCTTTTTTGGCCGAAGCTGCTGTTTGTGGCCGAGGCGGTAGCCGAGGCCGCAATTCAGATGAGGCCTAACAAATCACTTTTGGCCAAGGTGCACACAACATTTTTTAGGCGATCATCAAAAAAGAATTCAAAAATTTGCTCATAAACATATTTTTTCTGAAAATCATAGTTATCTTAGACAATTAAAAACAAAGCATTTCCTGTCATATGTAATAAATTATAATTAGCATCTTTCCGTGTGTTTTGTGCGTATCAAAATGGGTGATAGCGACAGTTCAGATACCTACCCAAAATGAAATTTTGGAAGCTGCAAGCGTTGCGACCCTATGTCATATATGATATAAGAGCAGGCGTTTGAGAGTAAAAGTACAATCGCAACTTCCTCCGCTGCACAAGATTTTAATAATGTCAAATGCAATACGTCCTTCGTAACTGTGGCTTCCAAGACCTTATAGTTAACATGCTGTACAATTATTAGAAACCTGATTACCTACTTTGATGGTAGGTATAGGTAGCTACTTGTGTTTTCGGTTAATTGCTGGTGATTCTTCGTATAATAATGTAAGCAACAACATCTTCCTCATGTTTTGGTTCTACACTTCAAAAAGGTCTGCAAGCAGCAAAGATTGAAACGTCAAACTATAATTTTAAATGTGAACATTGTGATTATGCAAAATGGTGTGAAACATTCCTACAAGTCCGAAAATGAAAAAAACGCACGTGGATGGCCCAATCCTTGATGGGGCGAGACCAGATAGACGCTTTGTATCAAACAGATTACTGTTTCTCAAACATCAGTTTCAAATAAGTACAGTTTGACAGATGTGTACAATAAAGTAAAGTTTGACAGAAGCGTAAAATAAAGTGAAACTTTATGGCCGCAAAAGCGACCATAAAATCAACGTTTTTGTGATGATAGCCTAAAAAAATTAATAAATGCGAAACCAGTCCCTTGTGCATTATGTGAAAAAGCTGACAAAGAACTTCAAATACTTGAAAAATGTGGAATTATTACGAAATCCGAATCATCAGATTGGGGTTCGCCGTTCGTTTTAATTCCGAAACCATTGAATACGTTGGTCTTGGAATATCACATGTGAAACCTCTGGCAAGATTTTCAGGATCTAAATCCTTATATTGTGATCCGATACCAAAAATTCGGATCACGAAACGGATTCGAATCAAAAAAGCAGTCCACCATACGATACAGAAGGGCATAAATTACTAGTTATGTATATGCAGGTACTGGTATATCATCCCAACTAACAACTCTAGCCAAATCGCCAAGTTACAGTACCCAAACGTCGAAAGGTTCCCTCTAAACCTTTATGCAAAATATTTAAAAAAACATACTTAAAGCAGATATAAAAAGCTAATCTCCCTTATCCCTATCATTTTAAATACTAATACGAATATAATTCAATGCACTTTTTCTAAACGTAGATAAGATTATACAAAAAAAACACGCTTGGTCACGATTGGCCACTGGTATAAATAGCGCGGGGAAGCTGTTTTATTTTATAGTAGGTATTAATTTGCTCGAGGAAAATGTTGAGACTCATCACAGTTTTGGTTTGCATCGCCTTCACACGAGGTAAGCTCAACGAGTTCAACAATGAAATAATACAATCATTTTCAGCCGCTCCATCCAAAATCGTGAATGGCACAAACGCCGAAAAAGGTGAAATTCCTTACATTGTAAGTTTTAAGCATAATTTTAAAATGTCAAAACTGACGAGCTTCGTTTAAGGTTTCTCTGCGAGTTGGTGGACGACATACCTGTGGAGGCTCAATTCTAAACGAGAATCACGTACTAACCGCCGCCCATTGTTTGAGCAACCGCAAATATTCGATTCAATATGGCGTTCTTCAGCTATCGTCCGATAACACAAATAGCATAGACGTTGAAAAGATCATGCGTCACGAATATTACGATCCGTACAATAGACACGCTAATGACGTCGCTGTACTTAAGGTAAATGTCTTCTATTTCAAGATTGAAAATCGAATAGGGTTGTTCATTTCCAGCTCATGTCTGCCATTCCAATTGACAATGTAAACGTGAGACCTACCACATTGCCCAGTCAAGCAGAGTCGGCACCCGATGGAAATTGGGGCGTACTAGCCGGGTGGGGCGCTGTGATTGTAAGTTACTTATTATTTTGTACAAAAGATAATATCATATACGTTATAGACTGGAGGTGGAGCCTATAAACAATTACAAAGGGTGGATATTTTGGTTTACTCCCCAGCAAACTGCCGAGCTGCCCATGGAAATTCGGTAAATGAAAAGTATCACCTTTGCGCTGGAGTTCCAGAGGGATGGAAGGGTCAGTGTAGTGTAAGTGTGCCACATTATAATCTCATGCGGTACTTACTGGGATGTTTTTATAGGGAGACTCGGGCGGACCTCTAGTAGCCGAAGGTAAACAAGTAGGTGTAGTCTCCTGGTCGATCAAACCCTGTGCGGTTGTTGGATATCCTGGAGTCTTCGCCAGAGTTGCTTCTTATACTGATTGGATTTGGTCTAAAGTTGATCTGAACTAAATAACTCTTCATATTGAAGAAATAAAATTTAAAATAAAATAAAAAGTACTATACCCACAAGTGTTTTTATCATGAAAAATTACCAAACATTACACATCACGCACATGTTAAGTGAAATATCGAAGGGCTATATACCGTTCTTCATACACTCAAATTTTAAACAAAATACTTAGGTTTAAATACAACATATTTATCGTTCAAATAAAAGACATTGTGCATTACATTGGGGTGCATCTAAAACAATCAACATGTAGTAGTTTATTAACGGCATGTGAAATGGCCATACGGTTTTCATTACGCTTCTAACCCCCAGGGGAGACATATTTGGTTATAATTTCCTTTTACTAATGTGATTTGGGGTACGTTGCTTTTTAAGATTTTCAAGTCTGTATATTTAAGACCCAAATTCAGAGTCCTTCCTAATTTCAAACTCACACTTAGATCCTACTAATTTCAACCTAACCTCTGACATTGGTATTCAGAAACAAATTAGACTGAATGAGTGGCTAAAATCTTACTAACTAGTGAGTAAGAGATGAGTGCGATGTAAGTCAGCTTTGGACTACCCTTAAGTGTCACTAATTTAAAATAACCTGGTTATGTCAAATGTGTTTCCTGTGTTTGTTAGAATATTTTATTGCAAAGTAGTTTTTAAGTGTGTTCTTATAGACATTATCTTAGTAAGTAATGAAGGACACGATTGTCTGCCAGACCTTTTTTCGTTGTGACACGGACACAGCATCGGTCTTATTACATTCGACGATGTAGGTATTAATACCGGGTCACAATTTCTTTTTTAAAAATTCACTGATTTCGCAATCCTTGCAACCATCGGAGGCATTGGAAATAATAACCGTAGAATGCCATATGTAAAACACAAATAACCCTTATTCATACGGCATCACTTGCTCCACTCGCTCGCAAGCTTGGTCGTGTCGTAACGTGCGTGTAATACCATCACGGGCGATGTGCGATAAATTTAGATTCGAATTAACAAAACCCTTGCGCACTGTTAAGTAAGTACCGTATCGACAGTATCCGCGACTTTTCCTGAATCTACCGATTGCAGTCAAGTACGGGACAATCATCACTTGATGCGACACCAATTGTCTTCTTTTCTGCTCGACTAACCAGTAACTTCAAACCCATACAAAACATAAGCATTTCCAATGCTAAAAATCTTCTCATCTCCGGTGATAAATGGTTTTTATTGGCGTTCATAATTATGACGATAAGAACAATATTAATAGTAACAAAATTAATAACCCCAATAACAGAAACTAATAAGAACAATAACAACTTTAGGAACAAGGAAGACTAACAAAAACTATGAGATTTGCGAAAACGTCAGAAATAAGTTTAAACTAAATATCTGTTTATGCTGAAGTTAGCGTTTCCAGAGCGGTTTGTTAGTCACTTGGTAAAATTTCCACTACCAATCGTTCCCCTAACAATATTTTTGACAGATTCCATACTAAAACCCCACTCAAATAAGTCACTCATTACAGATGTTCTCTGAATACCAAAAGTGAGAATGAGCGGGATTCGCACTAATTTGAGTTAGAAATGAGTGACTAACTAGTTGAGCGTGAGTTTGAAATTAGGAAGGACTCTGAATTCGGCTCTAAATAGGATGCACCGAATAAAAATTACCGTTAAATATGTTACTGTACTCGTATGTTTGCTTGAGATATTTTGGCACTACTGGTTGAATGCGCGATTTGAAAAATGGCTCACTATGACTATTGATATCCTTATCTTGGACACAGTGTATATTATCTGTGCTGCGCAAAAATGACGTCAAAGTCGCTTCACCTCTGCAGCAAACCTTATCAAAATGAATTGTGTTTGGTATTGTCGCAGCGTGGGATCGAATTAATTTTGTGACGTAATCACCCCAATACGCCGGCCAGATGGAAAATCCCATGTTCCCTTTCCTCACTTTTTGGGAATTCTCTATAAGCTTCAAGGTAAGGTTTCTTACCCGTGGCTTCCCGTCCTCGTCCAGGACCAAGGTCAACCATCTCCTGGTGGCGCACGAGGAAAACCGTCCCGTTCCGACGGTTTCTTCTATACGAGTATATCTATAATAACTAGAAAGGGTGAAAAAGACTGAAAATTAAATAATAATTCAGCATGTCAGTCTCGGGCCGTTCAGGAACCAGTGAGAAATATAAATCACGGCTATTCATTTCATCTTTAACATTTAAGACTCTCTAACATAGATGTTTCACCAATAGCCGTGTGCACCGACATGTCCATTGCAGTTTAATATAATCATACTTTGGTCCGACCCTGTGTAGGTACTTTTGGATCTGATTCCGTTCTTCCAGAATGTAATTCGATATCATTCAAGGAAAGTTGTTACATATACCTTCGAAAAGTTCCGTCAAGTCTTATGTTCTCTCTCGCTGCTTAGACACCGTCATAATAAGCATTCCAACGTGTGCCTTATGATTTTGTCTTTCTAATTGTCCTGAAGAGTACCATCAACCATCTAATGGTTGAAGCAGAAACAAAACCAAGCAGTTGTTCTATAGTTCTGAATTAAGTAACACTGAGCTATTCAAAGACTGGTTCAAACACGCAGAATTCAGGAAATATTGCTTTAGAAACAATCTCACGAACATTCAAATGTTCTGACCTTCTACTCTTGTACTGTATATCTGTATACCTTCTGCTTTAGAATAGCTTGTGTGAAATTAAGCGCGGGTTTTCCGCCCCAGCCAAGGGGGAAAATCCTAGAAATGACTCTCAGAGGGAATTGATAAATGATTTACTGAAGAAGTTCGCGGTCAAGGAGCCAAAAGCGGAATCTATAGCATATAATGTGTTACGGGTAGCACTTAGACTTGGTTAAGGATTCAAAAACCTCGAAAAAATGATGGATGCTTTGGAAGGAGGGTACGAGAAGCAATCTGCCTTTACAAAGTTAAACACTGCCTTTTTTTGAGCCCCGAAAAAAAATTCTCAGATCGACCCGGAAAATGTGGCCTGTTAGAATCCATAATTTCAAACAGTTCCAAGATTGGGCTACTAGTTCAAAAGTTACAGCACTTTGAATTTTTTTTCGAAATTGGTTTCTAGTCTATAACTTTTGATTGAGAAGTCTGATCGAAAAAGTACGAATTGATTTGGATTCTACGCACCCAAATTAATAAGAAAAATTGTTTTCCCAAGAAATTTTGGTGTAGTTGCGAAGAAAACTGGTTACGTAAAGATGTAATGAAATTGAAAAATTAGATCAGTTTTTAAAATTCGATGCAGAAGTAAGGGAGCTGAAGATGGATTCAAAGGTAGACAAGACTGACAAAGTGTGTTACTAGTTTTCATCCCTAAGCGACCAGTACACAAAGAAGTAATTACATGCCATTGAAGCTATGAATACAGATGTAACCATAGACTTTTAAATCAAGAGTTAAAGATGGCATGTTATAGTTGTGGTAAAAAACGCCCCCAATCGTATTATTGTCGCTGTCAACAATCGACTCGTAGACAGCACCAAGATGCGCCAGCCTGCATTACTAAAGTTCATTATTTTACTTCGTTGATAAAATGTCAAAATTTAACTATGAAAAGACTAAATCCCACTGTATTTCGTAGTCTTTGGACGACACGCTATTTGCGTCAGTAAGTATGCCACTATTAGGTAAGTATAATATGGTAAATGTGTATGGAGGTTTTCAGTTAATAAGGAAAACACTTGTACTTATGTCCTTTTTTATTTTGAGTTTTATTTCTTCAATATGAAGAGTTATTTAATTCAGATCAACTTTAGACCATATCCAATCGCTATAAGATGCAACTCTGGCGAAGACTCCGGGATATCCAACAATCGCACAGGGTTTGATCGACCAGGAGACTACGCCGACCTGTTTACCTTCGGCTACAAGCGGTCCGCCCGAATCTCCCTATAAAAAACAGCCGAGTAAGTGCCAAATATAACATAATCATGTGGTTCCCTTACATTACATTGACCTTTCCATCCCTCTGGAACTCCGGCGCAAAGATGATGGTTTTCATTTACCGAACTTCCGTGAGCAGCTTGGCAGTTTGTTGGGGAGTAAACCAAAATATTGACCCTTTGCAATTGTTTCACGGATCCACCCCCAGTCTGTAAGACATTTTATATTTGGGATAAAATTACGATGTACTTACAATCATAGCGCCCCAGCCGGCTAGCACAGCCCAATTTCCATCTGGTGCCGATTCTGATTGTCGGGGTAAAGTGGTAGGTCTCACGTTTACGTTGTCAATTGGAATAGAAGACTTGAGCTGGAAATGAACAACCCTATTCGATTTTTTACCTTGAAATAGAAGACTTTACCTTAAGTACTCCGACGTCATTGGCGTAATTATTGTACGGATCGTAGTATTCGTGACGCATGATCTTTTCAACGTCTATACTGTTTGTGTTATCGGATGACAGCTTGAGAACGCCATATTGAATCGAATATTTGGGGTTACTCAAACAATGAGCGGCGGTTAGTACGTGATTCTCATTTAGGATTGAACCCCCGCACGTATGTCGCCCACCGACTCGCAGGGAAACCTTAAATCAGTCATGTTTCCTATTTATGTTTTGGTGGTGCTTAGGAAATACTTACAATGTATGGAATTTCACCTTCTTCGGCGTTTGTACCATTCACGACTTTCGATGGAGCAGCTGAATACGAGTTTATTGTATTGTTGAAATTGCATAACGAGCTTACTTACCTCTTGCGAAGCTAATGCAAACCAAAACTGCAATGAGTCTAAACATTTTACTCGAGCAAGCTAAATGGTACTATAAAGTAAGACAGCTTCCTCGTGCTATTTATACTAATAGCCTACCGATTATTTGTAAACATATTTTTATATTACTTATCAGATACCAAATAGTTATAAGGGCCTAGCAAATGACCTTTAGTAAAGGTGTTTGAATTATAATACTCGTAGGTATTCAAAATATTGCTGATATGAAAGATTACAGCGTTCTCAGATTTGCTTTGTTTAAGTGGGTTTTTGAAACGTGTTGCTTCCTAGTTTAAAGGGTTAAAAGGGATTGATTAAATGTCAACACGTGTGTGTGTATGTAATGCGTATAGAAATTGACTAAAGTTGTTTTTAGTATGCAAGTGTTGCGACAATGATATATTTTATGTACAACGCAAACTGGAAGATTATAGCGAAGAAACTGGTTGTTCTAGAAGTTCAATGCTAGGGAAACCCGATTAATTCCTCCATGCGTCAAAACCAATTTTACGGGCTGCATCTTTAGCCCGCAATAATTGAAAGAAACAGTAAATGCATATACACCAAGTTGGCTGCAGTTAGGGTTAAAGTTTAGAGAATAATGGGTTAGGGCCGAAGTTAGGGCAGCAGTTAACAAAACCTATGGGAAAGGGTGAAGGGCACAGGATGTGGCTTATCGGGCGTAATAAAATCCTGTGTGAAAAACTGCATTAAAAGTTATATGGCCTTGGTGGTCAAATCCAACTTATATGTGGATGTGGAAACTAGTAAATCGCTCCTCATACCACATAGTTTCTAAACCAAAGAGTTTTTGTTAGCATGGTCCAGCCCCTGAGACAGGTGACGTTCCTCTTGCGGAAAATTCAAGCCTACAGTTGTGAATTACGGCTTTAGATGGTTACAGTATTTTCCACCCCTGGGACTATCTCTTCAAGGCTAAAAGTGTTAGTAATCAAACAGCAAGTCAGTACACACAGCAAACAATGCCCTACCCTCGACATAACTGAGCAATACAACATAAAAAATTAAACTCCGGACAAAGAACATGTAACAAACATCAATTCATTAAAATTTGCACCAAATATGAAGTTCGTGGCAATTAGACCAAAGATAATAGAAATATGAAGAGAAACCAAACAAAGTATTTTAATCTATAAAACATTAAAGGGAAAGAAAAGAACCAAACAGAGTTCTAAATTGTTTCATGTGTCACTACAATCGCCCTCACACTGGCACAGTCTTGTGCATGGCAGATCTGCCTTGGATCCATTTAACACCGAGCCCGACATGCATTTTTGCGGCGATATTTTTCTAGGATCAGCAATGAGTTCAGGAGGGCAGGGAGATTCTACATTGCCCCTCCTCGTATGCTATATTCTGTTGTGCTTAACCAGCACAATTTCAACTTCAGCGTGCGCTATCCGGGAGGTTTTACGTTGTTTTCAGACACTGTCCCCAAACTTGACAATCCTGGGTATCCAGCTCGTTGATAGTACAACCTTAATGTTTACTGTATGGCTCCCTTCCTGTACGATCGTAGAACAAAAAAATACAGGGTGTTTTTTTCATGTTTCAGTATGGGGATCTAAAAAGCGTAATATGTAGAAAAACCCTTAAATGGGTAAAGTTATGCTGATTAATTTTCTCTTTAAAAGTTTCTTGTAGCTTTACAAGTAGCAAAGTGATGGCCAAAAAAACAAAAAATGCCGAGTACGAAAGAAGAGTGAACGCTGTTTTTAGAGATTCGACGAAAAATGTATTGAAATATGTTTCTAAAGAAACGAAGTGTTTCTTCTGCAAGAAATCGGGTCACATGGAGAGTAACTGTGAAAGTTTTCCTACGAAACCTTCAATCCAATCAATTGGGGTACTGAATTTGATCCATACGGAGGTAGCAGGTCTAAAGCAATCCATTTCAAGGAATGGGCAATATTATTTGGTCATATTCATCGGCGATTATTCTCGAATTACATATGTTCGCTTGATCAGGGAGACATTGGAACTCGAGAATGAGTGTAAATATTTTGTCGAAATGTTGAAGAATAAATTCAATAAGAAACCAAAATTATTTCGATGAGATCGTGGTGGCGAGTACATAAAAAGGATATTTCAACAATATTTCAAGGCGGAGGGCATTGAATGTCAATTGACGACTGGATACTCTCCACAATAGAATGGCGTCGCTGAACGTAAGAATAGAATGATCCTGTGTATGTTAGTCGATACAAAGTTGCCATATAGTTCTTGGGGCGGTTTACATTCAGAATAGGACCATTACCAAAGCGACCAATATGACGCCGCGCCGTTCGAACGACGCGACGGTTTGGAGGGAAACCAAATTATTTTCATATCTTTTGCAACAAATGATTTGCTCATGTTCCACATGAAAAGGGGCGGAAGCTGGATAATGCAACTGTGGAAATAAAGTTTCGAGGTTATTAATATCAGTCTAAGACTCTAAGGCGTACCGATGCTAGGATCCAAAGGTAGGTAGGGTGGTGATTAGTCGTGATGTGAAGATCAGTTGGGACCGACCGGAAATTTGCCGCCCCCTATATATTTTAATAGTTAATCAAGAAAATTAATAAAAGTCAAATAACGCCGCTTTAAATTTTTCTTTTCATTAAAAAAGTAGGTACTTTTCGTGTTTTTGCGTTTTTCCCGACGCAATTTCATAAGGGCATCTAATTTTTACGAAAAAAATCGAACAAACACATTGCTAAGTACTATTTTAACAAGAAGCATGAGTGCGGTGGCAACAAAAATCCGAGTCGAAGACGAGGATTTTTGCACCTGCACGAATGCGTTTTGTTAAAAAAATATTACCTTGCATTGTATTTTTTAGATTTTTTTCACAGGAAAAATTAGACTTCTTTTAATTTTTGTCTTAACTTGCAAGTAATATGACTAAATATAAACCACTTTAAGTCCTCGAAGTGATTTAAAAATAAGGCAATTACCTATACTCATAGAGTAGTTATTTTTTACTTCACCTTGATTTTGTTATCAATATTAAGAGTGCTTTTCAAAAACATGATGACGAAACAGATTTACTGTAGATATGTTTCATGACCATCAGGATTTGAAGTGGTACTTACCTGCATACCTACTGCAATTTCCTGGTATGCAAGTATGTTTTTGTATTAGAAAACTAGCGTAAAGTTACACAATTTTTTTCACCTCTTGCTCATTAGGGAAACCTTCGAACGTTAGCAATGGATACAGTTAGGCTATACCTGTAATTAGGTATTTAGATGGGTCTGAATTCAAAATCCTATTGATTTTTAAAATAACTAATGGACCCGGGCACATCGGAAGTCAAATTTGTAATGAAAACCAACGTCGGCAGCCTTACCGATATAAACAAAAAACATTAAAGTAATATGAGTAAAATATTCACAAACATTTTTCAAAGAACTTAATTTTATGAAAGTAGGGACGTAATTGCCAACCCAAATGTAGTGTCGTTGATAAACAAACGTTCATATTTTAGTAGTTTATGAAAAATGTTTTCATTAATAAAAATAATTCCGCAAATTACTCACTTTAATCGTCAACATCTGCTTATATTTTGTTCCATTGAAATTTTCAGCCGCATTACTTGAGCCTAATACAAATTATTGCTCATTACACTATACATTGAATAATGACGTAATCCAAAGTTTTAAACTGTATTTAGGGATTTACATAACTGCAACATTTTACCTTCAAAGTTGCAAGCGTTAAAGGATAATCATTAAGCTTTTTATAATACTCTCGTTTACTACATTATTCATTTGAAGGTATACTTTACTTTAATTGTGTTCATGTTCAACAGAAAATGAGAATTAGAAAGATATCTTCCGATAATTCATCCAAAAAAGAAACATTTGCACTACTTTATAAACTGTTTCTTTGACGTAGTGAGTTTGGGAATTTTTCAGACTCTTTTACCTTTACGTCATTAAGATTTCCACACGAGTTACCATTGATGGACAATCGAAAAGTTCCAGAAGTCATTAGAGACAGGTTTCTCATTTAATATACAGAAACGTAGTTTTTACGTAGAAAGAATTAGAACTCTCTTTAAACGCACCGATAACTTTTCTGATCAACTTCGCATAGGTAAATTAATTTCACGTGTTCTCATTTCCCTGTAACATAGACCTACCAAAATTAGACTCATGATCCCGAAAATCTTCCTTGAAGTGGAAAATGTGTCGGTAAGATTAATCGACGAGATTAGGCAACATATGGCGAAAGGGGAATAACATATCGTCCTATTTCGATTTAGTCATGCTTACTACCTTTTTTTCAAAAACACTTCCTGGTTTAATTGAACAAGATAAAAAAAATGTACTCACATGCATGAGCAACTTTAGCGTTTTTTTCCGTAGTTTCAGCTTATGAAGGCATTTTGGCGTTTTGCCTACAAAATTGATGTTCAAATAAAGATCTGGTCAGATTTGACATCATTATTTTCATAGTTTTCAAATGTGAGAGAGTCGTTTGTAGGATACAGGGTATCAAATTACAAATAATTCAAAAGGATATGCGAGGTACAAAACACAATCCATAAACCATGAAAACTCAATTTTATTGATATAATCAAGCACAATGAATAAAACTGTTCTTTACGTATGTTAGAAAGTTCCGGATTGACGGTCACGTATGAATAACCCAAACTAAGAATGGATGTCACTCTTATGCCTCTATGTAGGTCTATGGAATACAAACACTTTACGATTCAAACAAAATCGAAAAATGTATACTTAGGTTGTGCTCGAATATCCATGTCGAAATTAACCATAGAAATAAGAACATAACAATTGGGGTGGGCGGAAGGAAAGTGATTTGTCTTGATGTCCAGCAACACCACCAAGGATTTTTTTAAAATTTCAAATGCAAGTGCTCTGTTTCATACCTCGGTGCCCCTGCGTCATGAAGCGTACCACCTCATGAAGGATCATTGGTCTGTGACACAACGGTACGTAATTAAAAACTATTCACAACAGTAGCGGTGTTTAAAACGTGTAGAATTTCTTTTAAAGAACGAAAATTGACGAGAATATACACTGTGTCCAAGATAAGGATGTCTGT